CCGGCTGGGCTTAAACCACGACACAAGGGAACAGAACTACTTGCATGGAAATACTATATCAGACTGACTGCAGAGTATATACTTAAGAAACAGTTGCTCTGCAGTATGAACACTGTATCAACAACCAAGATAATTTTCAACATGACTCTGATGTGCATTATTAGGAGGAGGACAAGCATTCTATAAACTTACATATCATCCTCTGATGTGAAACACACGAGTCAACATTACTGTCTTTTCACTCAAGCTCAAGGAAAAAAACATTTACTTTTTTTGCTCCTGATTTAGTTAATCCTTCCATCCATTTGGAACAGCTCTTAGCAGTGAGACTCTCTTGGTGCTATTTAAAAGCAAGGGAGGCATTTTATGCATGGTAATTAGTGTGGACTGAAAAAGGAAAACAATGCACCACTCATTTGTTATGCAGCTCAAGGAGAAAACAGGGGAAATCTAATCTTGGCAGCCAGAAATGCCAGAAATAACTACACCTTTCTGGAAAAAAATTGATTTTCCAGGCTTGTTTTCCTCCAGAGTACTCATGGAAAGGCAGCCATGGGAACACTGACCCCATACAGTCTTCCCTCAGAATGGAGGCAGAACCCCAAGCTAGAGATTTAACAGGGAGAGGCTGGATTTGCCTGTTCATGGGAGTGTATGACTGTGAGTGGAAGGTGAAGGCTGCAAAAGGACATGAAGGAGAACGTCACGTACCATGACAGGGAATATGATAGCAGCCACGGTTGACTTGAGGATCCAGAGGAGGGCCAGGCACACCACCTGCAGGAAGGTGAACAGATGGACCCTGCGCAGCGGGACATGGCGCAGGTAGATGAAGTCAGGCTGGTGTTTTAGAGGCATCAAGAGCAGCTTCAGACGATCCATGAACTGGGAAGGAGAAGAAATGGAGATTAAACCCAGGATACAAAAGAAAGAGACACAAAAGCATTATTCCACTATGAAGTGTGACCTTGAATCAACTTGCTTTCCCTTCCGTAAGAGAACCCAGTAGAAGACCCAGCAGAACTCCTCTATCCTCATGGACGTGTACTTAATGCAGGGTGGACTAAACATGTTAACTCAGTTGTCCCAAGTGCAGGCCCTATATCTACACTATAGTTGGTAATTAAACCAGGTTGGATGTGACTTGGAGCAACCTGCTCTAGTGGAAGGTGTCCCTGCCCATGGCAGGGGGTTGGAACTGGATGAGCTTTAAGGTCCTTTCCAACCCAAACCAGTCTGTGATACTATGATCTTCTAGAGAAGGCCCAGCAGGGAGCCAGCTCCTGGCCATCGGAGGTACTCACCTGCACGCCATTGAGGGAAGCAACACCCATGTAGAGGAAGACACCATAGAGCACAGGCATGGGAATGAACTGCGGAAGGAAGAGCAGGAGACACTGACTGAACAACCTCCCCACACACAATGCACTGTTAACATGCAGGTGGACACAATTCCTAGCCTTGGATCAAATCAAAACGAGTTGCACCTATGCACAATGCAGAGTGATAAAGCAAGTGATCTTTAGTCTGTTTTTCGAGAGCCAGAAGAACATTTGTGCAGTCAATGGAGGGCCGAGGAGCTGTGCAGGGGCTGAACAAGCCCTGAGCTCCACCAGTTCACTGGGAAGAAGTTCTTCCCTCTGAAGGTGGTGAGACCCTGGCACAGGTTGCCCAGAGAAGCTGGGGCTGCCTCATCCCTGGCAGTGTTCAAGGCCAGGTTGGACGGGGCTTGGAGCAACCTGGTCTAGTGGAAGGTGTCCCTGCTTATGGCACAGGGTTGGATGGATGAGTTTCAAGGTCCCTTCCAACCCAAACTAGTTTCTGACTTGGATGTCTCTCCACGAACCAAAGGGAACAAAGCTAGCCAGTACCAGTCAGTCAGCAAATTAACACAGAGGTGGAGTAAATGTGTTCCAGTAAGCCTCAACCTGCTTTTCACATAGCACAGAATATCAGGTTGAAAGGGACCTCAAGGATCATCTGGTCCAACCTTTCTAGTGAAAGCATGACCTAGAGTAGATGTCCCAGCAGCAAGTCCAGATGAATCTTAAAAGTATCCAACGCTGGAGATTCCACCACAACCCTGAGGAGATTATTCCAGTGGCTGGTTGTTCTGATGGTGAAAATTTTTCCTCCCATATCCAGTCAGAATCTCCCCAGAAGTAACTTGTGCCCATTACCCCTTGTCTTTTCCGTGTGAAAACCTCTTGGCTTCTGGTGAGAAGCAGAAGGTAGAGAAGAAGAAAAGGCAGCATGATCCTCTGGTATGTCCATGGAAATCATGGAAATCCATCCAGAAAGGCTCTTCTCTTGAGTCCTACCTTGGCAATGACAAGTCATGCCAACCAAATCTCTGACTGCTCCATCTTTCACACACATTAATCCATAAATATTCACAGACACAGGACAGTGAATAACTTTCTTCACTGCCACTATCCTTTCAAACAACGATTTCTGCTCATTTAAGTGCTACGTGCTGCCAATTCCTCCATCACTGGTCCTGCCATCGGGGACATCTCCCTTTGGAAGCGAGGAAAGTGCATGGTAACACACAGGAGATGAGTAACAGCCTTGGTGTGGTTTAGTTTGAACCCCAGGAGTTCATGCAGTGACGGGCGGCTGCCACTGAACGGCAGCACCG